GGGGTGTTGCCGCGGCGGCCCCCCCCCCCCCCCCCGAGGGGGTGTGATTTCTCGCTTTCTGTCTCTCTGTCTCTCTGTCTCTCTCTCTCTGTCTGGCGAGCCCACGCCCCCTATAGCAAAAAACCTCTCTCTCAAAAAAACAAAACAAAACAAAAAAAACAACAAAAAACAAAAAAACTTCTCCTTTCCCATTGGAAACACTGTTGGGATTTCAAACAATGGAAATATCTTTAAGGCTCTTCTTGAACCTCTGTAGAATTATGAGATGATGACAAGCCAGAGTATGACAGAATGAAGATGTGACTGTACCTGGGAAAGAGGAACGGGAAGAGTTGCTCTGGAATTCTGGGCTCCAGAACTGTCTGTTATGGACCAGGCGTGATTTCTCTTTTCCCCTAGAGTCTCGGAGTTTTGAATCAAATGGATTTTAAGTTCCTTTCTTAGTGAAAACATTTCCATGATTCTGAAATGTACTGAACACTTACTAAATCTCAGGCACCATGCTAGATGATAAAGGTTTGAAGGGGAGGTAAGGAGCCTGCCCTGAAACTTGCATCCACATGTTCAGCTTGCTCTTAGACTGCAAAGTGGCTTCAGGACCAGAATTGACTTTTTTTTTTTTTTTACAAATTTTCTATGCATGGAACAACATGAATATATTCATCCCTGCCCTTCCTATTCTAGACACTCTGCTAGAGGTTGTAGGTATGTCAAAAAAAAAAAAAAAAAACCAAGACATGGCACCTTCTTCTAAGACATAATTTGCCATCTACTCTCCTTATTCATGAGAATTATGTCAGCCTTTCCCCAAACCCAAACAAGACAAATTTTTGCATTTATCTCTACGAAATGAAAAAACAAAGTGCCTATAGCTAAGTAAACATTTTAAAGAACTAGATTATTGCCTTTGTTCAGGATACTTTTTTAAGATCAAGCTGGTCTACATTTTCTCTTGAGTAATCATCTCATCGCCGTATTTACTAACACTGCAGCACTGCAGCAGTGCACTCAGAAACTTCTAGATCTTCCGGGAAACAGACAGTAGAAAGAATTTTCTCTAAGTTAATTTGGGAGAGTGAAAACTAAATAAATGATTTTAAATTGCAGGTGGAAAACCAGTAACGCTAACCAATCATAATATATATTGATCTGAATATACACATTACTTTGACAGTATTATTTCCCAAACATGATTTAATGGAAAGAAAGACCCTGGAATCAATCTGTTTGATGTTATAATATCTATGATGCTTCAGTTTTTGATTTGCAAAATAAGCTTTCATCACAGGCCTGTTTTAAGAAAATATAAGATAATCAATGTAAACTTTAAGCTGTATAAACATCATGAATAGGTATTTAACAAGTTTTACTTATCTTTCCTTCCTTTCCCTATCTAAATCTGTTGAATAACAATTTGAGGAGTAAACACTGTTTTTGCTATCAAAACTTTTTTATTAAAAACCATCTTTTTTTTTCTCTTTATCCCTTAAAGTTATTATTTTATGCTGCTTAGTAGGAAAATGCCCCCTTTCCACACACACCTTGGTGGTTTCTTTTAACAATTTATGTGAAATCCTGACCTCTAGTGGTTTTACTTG